CAATTGCTTCATATGCATGTGAGAGCTGGACAGTGAATAAGGAAGACCAAAGAGTTAATGCTTTTGAGTTGTGGTGTTGGCAGTGGATACTGAAAGTACCATGGACCGCCAAAAGAACTTACAAATCTGTTTTGGATGAAGTGCAACCAGAATGCTCCTTGGAAGTGAGAATGGCTAGACTTCATCTCACCTACTCTGGTCATGTTGTCAGAAGGGGCCATTCCCTGCAGAAGGATACCATGCTCGGTAAAGTGTAAGGTCAAAAAAAAGAGGAAAGCCCTCAATGAAATGTATTGACATAGTGGCTCAGGTATAGCAGGTATTGTGAGGCTGGCACAGAACTGGGCATATTTTGTTCTGTTGTACATGTTGTTGTTGTTGTTGTTGTTATGTGCCGTCGAGTCGGCCCCGACTCATAGCGACCCCTCCTTGGGTTTCCGAGGCAGTATCACTACAGAAGTAGGATTGCCCAACCTTCCTTCCGAGGAGTGGCTGGTGGTACATAGGGTAACTATAAGTTGGAGCCTATTCAACAGCACTTAACAAATACAAGATTTGCCCCTATTTTATCTTTGATGAGATTTGTAGCTTTGGGTCTTACATTTAAGTCTGTTTTTGTATATGGGGTGAGACATGGGTTTCGTTTCATTTTTATGCAAGTGGATACCTTGGTATTAAATTTCTGAATTTCAATTAGCTGTTTTTGTCTGATTTCTAACTTTTTGTTTAGTTTTTCAGTTTGTTCTTGTATTGTTTTCCTAAATTGTGCTACAGTTTTGTCTGTGTTTTCTTTAATTTTGTCAGTGTTTTCCTTGATCTGTCTCTCAATCCATTGAAGATACCTAAATATAACTCTTTTGAATTCCTTATCAGGCAGTTCCAATGCCACTTATTGCTTAGGAAGTTCTTCTGGGTTTGTATCCTAGTCCCTTGTTTGTACTACTTTGTTTTGCTTCCTTATTTGGACTGTGATGGTCAGTTTTCTTTGTGACATTGTGATGTAATTGTATTTACATTTAATTAGTCATTGTATGTTGGTGTGATTTGCCCAGCTTTCTTTTACTTATTTATTTTAATATATTTGAATGAGCAGGACTATTTGCTTGTTTGCAGCACTTATGCACTCACCACCTTTGTCCTGGTGAGTATGATGGACAATAAGAGTGTGTGTACAGATCTCTGTTAGGTGTTCATGAAGAGCAATTGTGTGTAATTTGGGCTGTTATTTGTCACCCACTATCATAGATCTATTGGTGCAGAAGCAAGTCACGGCCCTCACCCAGCTAAAGAAGGTATGTGTATGGTTTGATCATGTGGGCACATTTGCTGTCTTCCACCTGGTTAGACAAAACAAACAAACAAACCCAAACAAGAGAACAAAACACACAAACCACATAAAACAATACCACACACACAAAAAGAAAAGGCAATAAATGAACCAAAAAATAAAAAAGAATAAAAGAAAGAGAAAAAAAATAATCATCAGTATCTGTTGAGGGAGGAGGAATAAGAGAAAAGAATAAGAGGAAAAGAATAATAAAAAAATGAGAAAAATGTTAAAGAAATACAAGATATGGGAAGAACAAAAACAAAAAGAGGAAAAGAAAGAAAAAAGAAGAGAATCAGAAAAAGGAGATAAAAATGAAATAGCAAAAGAAGAACTAGGGAAGGGCAAGAGAAAAAAAATAATAATGGAAGAGAGGAGAAAGAATAAAAGATTAATTTTAAAATAAGTAAAATCAAAACTGGGTGGGAATTTGGCACCTGGGTTCTGTCAGGGCACCCAGACTAGAGTAGAATTTCTGCTGGTACAGAAGATGTGTGGAAGTGAGGGATGGCCACACCTCCATTTCCCAAGAGTGTGTGGGATACAAGAGTAACAAGGGGAATATCACACATTTCTAGTCATCAACCTCCACTGTGGTTGCTCAAGCTGTCCTCAGCAAGAAGAGCCTATTCTTAGGTTACTATCTGGATGGGAATGCCATTTGCAAATATTCAAAATGGCCACACCCTCAGGACAGCTGACAGTCCACAACTCTGTTTGTTTTCTGACTGACTATTTTCCTTTCTATTCATCAGTCACCAGTTCAATTGTCCATGCAGTACTTGGCAAGTAGAGCCATTTCTTAGGTTGCTGCCCAGATCAGAATGCCACTTGTAGATATTCAAACTGGCCATGCCATCAGGACAGCCAACAGTCCACAGCCTTGTTTGTCCCTTATTCACTGTTTTCATTCAGATTCTTCTACTAGTTGGAGTTTAATCCACTTCTTTAATCCTTTCAAAGCTCTGTGTTCCAGGATTATCTTCCATATTGATTTCACCTGGTCCCTTGTTTCTTTGTTGCAGAGGGTCTGTGTAGGTAGTCCACCTATTCCTCCATCTTGCCATCTTGACTGAAGTCTCACCATTTGCATTTCTTATTGGAGCTGGGATTCTTATGATGAGTAGTGATAAGCAGTACACTTGTGCAACTTAGTGATCTACCAGGAATCATACACATGAATGAGACATATATGTAAAGACATTTTATTGTATGTGTATCTTCACATGCCATGTAAGTTACATATAAATTATATGCATTAGTTTACATTAGAAATAAATAAAAGAAGGAGGTCATTTTTGAGACATTCAAATTTGGGAAGATGACAATGCTGCACAAGTAGAAAATGGCCAAAATAGGTGTTTTTTTTTTTTTTTGTGTGTGTGTGTGTGTGTTTTCTCTTCTTGAACTTGGCTAAGTTATCAGGGAAAATAGCTTTAGAGAAGTCCTGGTTCAGATGATTTTGAAAAGAAGTTGCCATGTCAACGGTCTCTGAATCAACGAGAAAATCCCTTTGAAAATCCTAGAGAACCCCTAATATCTTCTTTGCCTTTGTGTCTCAAGGAGAGCCTGCTCTATGAAGCTTATTTTAATTTTGTGAAAATGAAGTATATTTTCAATTTGTAAATTTGTGCAGTTAATTGGGAACAGGGAGTGGGATTCATTAGAGTCATTTTGGTACATGGAAAATTCCAAGTGTAAGTCTACAGATGAGGCACCATAGAGGAAAGTGAGAATGTCCCCATTGATGTGTTCAGAAATACTCATAAACATACACAAGCCTCTGTGCAGTAGTTTTAGTTGAGTTATCTGGAAAAAAAAATGAACTGTGGCATTTGTGTATGATTTCGTAACTACTCTAAAAGGGCTTCTTCCATTCCCAGAAGCAAAAATATATCTGTCCGTTGGCACACCAAAGTGTAAATTCCTCCAAATAGAGATTTATATTTTGCCTGTGAAATCTGTCATCTTAATATTTAAAAATTCCTGGTAAGGGGTGTAGAGTGCAAGTTGCTACACAAAATTTTATTAGTTCTTATATGAATGAGATGCCTTTCTGAGGCCTGTTTTGACAATGTGTTGAATTTAGAGTAGCCAGGACTGATGTCTGGATACTAAACTGGTTACAACTAATCACCTACATTAAGTCCCTTATGGTTACTTTAAAAACTAAATAAGGCCCTTTTCCTCTATGGAGTTTCGATTTGAATAGACCAGGTGCTGACTCATTCTGGTTAATAGATTCTGGAGCCTATCTGTTGTGTATGTTCTTCACTTTTAAAATGGGGATTAATAGGCCTAATTCATAAGGTTGTTGGGAGGAATAAACATGGTAAAATTTGCATACTGCTGTTGAATCCTTGGTGACAGCAGGAAGGTTCTGTATCAGATACAGTGTTCAGTTAAGTGTTGAATACTTAGTTGCAAATATTTTCCCCCACTCCCCAACACTTTGTCCTTAACTGTGCTGGAAAGACATAACCTGAGTGAAAGAATTAGTCCCTAAAGCCAAGTAAAGCATTATCAAGAATTAAATATTTCTTCTTCCTTAGGACAGATAGTCTCTGGGGCAGTGATCCCAAGGGACCCTCTGTAATTAGTCTCTAAAATTTCTAATTCAGAATAAAACTCTCTATTCCCCTGTTATGCATAGGACTTAGGAAAGGATGCTGTCTCATCCCTGGAAGCTGGACAGGAGTCTCAGGGTAAAGCCACAATCAGAGATCATGTTCTTCAGCTCAGAAAGAGAGACAAGATAAAATTAAGGTTTAGATCTTCAAAATAGAACCAAAAGCAGAGCATTCTGAGCTCAAAGCTATCACCTTCTTTTCACAGGGCATATGAATCTCCATAAAAGAGATGGATGAAAGCTGGTAGAGAACAGCACTTGGGCTCCCAGCTGAAGGAGTGTGAATTCCTTCCAGACCAGTTAGTCTTGCAACAGTGTGGTTAAGAGCTCAAATCACAGAAGCCAGCCAGCTGAGTTCATCTCTGGCTGTAAGAGTAGCACTGAGACTTGGTAAATTTTTCAGGTCCGTTTTCCTCCCAGTGAAGTGGGAATGATCATAATAGTTAATTAACTATCTAATAGTTAATTCTCAGTAAATATTTTCTTTTCCCTTCATTTTCCCCTTCTTTTTTTTCTTTAATATCCTTTATTATTAAAAGCAATGGCTTTTGCACTAAAGGCTTTGAGGTATTTAAGCTAAGCACAATCTTGTCTTTCTACTTTGGCCAGCACTGACCCTAAGGTAGAAGGTAAGGACAGGGTCAAAGGCTTCCATCCCTCAAAATCACTGTAGAGAAGGACCCTACAATTTATAAACTTGAGCAAGTTCTGGAAAGGATAGGAAAAACACAGAAGAGGGCCACAATAAAAGTTAGAAGGCCATCCCACCTCAACTTTGGGGCTCCTCTTCTTACTCATACCAGCCCACACATGGAGGCAGAATTCACACTCAGACAGTTACTGGGATAGTTAAATGCACTTGAAGACCATGAAGACAGATACACAGGTATAAGGAAAAGCCTTACTTTGGAAACAAAAAATCTATTTGTTCAGATACCATTCTCAAGATGGGGAATTGTGTGGTGAATTGTGGTTTGTGCGTGTGTCTTTCTCTTTTGCTCAGTGACTCCTTTCTTTTTACCTCACAGACTCACCAAGAGAAGAATGGCTACTGAGAACTCCTCCTTTGTGACAGAGTTTATCCTGGCGGGCTTAACGAACTATCCAGCACTCCAGATGCCCCTCTTCTTCCTGTTTCTTGGTTTCTATGTGATCACTGTGGTGGGGAACCTGGGCTTGATTACTCTGATTGGGTTGAATTCCCACCTTCATATTCCCATGTACTTTTTCCTCTTTAACTTGTCCTTCATAGATTTTAGTTACTCCACTACCATCACCCCCAAAATGCTGATGAGTTTTCTCTCAAAGAAGAACATCATCTCCTATGTAGGGTGTATGACTCAATTCTTTTTCTTTTGTTTCTTTGTCTTTTCTGAATTCTTCATCCTGTCAGCGATGGCATATGACCGCTATGCCACCATCTGTAAACCACTGATGTACACAGTCACCATGTCCCCCCAGGTCTGTTTATTCCTTTTGTTAGGTGTCTATGGGATGGGGTTTTTTGGAGCCATGATCCATATGGTAAATACTGTATTTCTGATCTTTTGTGCCAACAATCTTGTCAATCACTATATGTGTGATATCCTTCCCCTACTTGAGCTCTCTTGCAACAGCTCTTACATAAATTTACTAGTGGTCTTTATTGTTGTTGCTATTGGCATTGGTGTGCCCAATTGTCACCATTTTTATTTCTTATGGTTTCATTCTTTTCAGCATTCTCCAGATTAACTCCACAAAGGGCAGGTCCAAAGCTTTCAGTACCTGTAACTCCCACATAATTGCAGTTTCCCTTTTCTTTGGGTCTGGAGTTTTCATGTACCTCAAACCACCTTCTATTTTACCCCTTGACCAAGGGAAATTTTCTTCCTTAATCTATACTGTCGTTGTACCCATGCTCAATCCATTAATCTATAGCCTGAGGAATAAGGATGTCAAGTTTGCCCTGAAGAAAACCTTGGGCAGAATAACTTTCTCTTGGAAAAATAGTTGCAATTGAGAAAGGGGATCCAAGGATCTAACCCCTTCTTATAAAACCTCACACTTTTGGAAATTAAAAATATTTGCATTGTGCAAAAGCATAAAAAACAGAACAAAACAAAACAAAACAGCTACCTAGTGCCAGCAGTAAGACTGGATGGCAGGCTTTTGAATCCTGATCTGACTTTTTTTTCTCTTTATGCTAAGATTCTTGCTTCACCTATTTCTTGGATTATTTTATTTTAAATTTTAATTGATCTAGCACATTTAGATTATGAATATATTCACAGCAATTTCATGTAGCTTTTCAAAGGATAATTTTAATATGTAACATTTTGCAAGAAAGTAGGAGGTGAAATATTTGGTTGAGCTGGTCTTGGCAAAATGACAAAAGAAGTGTGTGATATATTTTGCAATTTGTGAGTACGAAGTATGCTAAGTTCCATATAGAAGCAAGCATGGTGCCCACTGATTTGGTGTGTGAATCCTTAGGGGCACAGTATAGTGAATAGAACTTCTACAGAAGAGACATATAATTTTAAAGTGTGTAAAAATGCTGGATGGAAGTATCAAATTATTTGAAGACTCAAAGAGAAGGTAGAGTCTCATTTCAATGGTTACCTTGGGTATTAGAGGTCTCATGTAGAAGTCTGTAGTTCTAGATAATTGGCAGCTGCACTATCCGATATGATAGCACTAGTCATATATGGGAGCTCTGGTAGCATAGTGGCTAAGGCAATTGACTGCTAAGAAGAAGGCTGACGGTTCAAATCCACCAGCCACTCCTCAGAAGGCAGATGGGGCAATCTACTTCCGTAGTGATACTGCCTTGGAAACCCAAGGAGGGGTGGCTGTGAGTCGGGTCCGACTCAATGGCACATAACAACAACAACAACAGTCATATATGGCTATTAAGCATTTGAAATATGGTCACCCACATTGAGACATACTGTAAGGATAAAATGTAAGTGTAAAATACAGATTGAATTTTTGAAGAATTAATATAAAGATAATGTAAAATATCTCATTAATAATTTTTTATATTGGTGTAGTGGGTAAGGCATTTGGCTGCTAACCAGAAGGTCAGTCATTCTGTGGAATTAAAATTTAATGTTTCAACATGACAAAGAGAGGCCACCATTAAGACCAGTAAAAAGGCGGGCCCCAGTTCCTGGAAAATTACATCAGTCATCCACACTCCCGCCAGAAAACCAAAGTATGAACCCACCAATGACCTGTAAAACTATGTTAAAATAACCAATCACTTGTATTTTGTATTCGCGCCGAAATATAAACTGGCCTATCACTGGAATTCCCTTTGTCCACCCCTGTCCCCTAACCAATCCCTGATACCCTCACCACCCTCTCATTCCTCCGCCCTTTCCGAATATGTCTTTAAATAGTATGTGTGTTGGAAGCTAAGGGCTCTACTCCTCTGCCCCTGCGTGGGATATGAGTCAAGCCCCAGCGCGCTGGAACTCCGAATAAACTCCTCCTGCTTTTGCATCAAGAGATGTCTTTCGTGAGTGATTTTGGGTGGTGTTATCCCTGACTTGGGTTGGGGGAGCCCTGCCGTGGGGGGAACCCAACAATTCAAACCCACCAGCTGCTCCATGGAAGGAAGATGGGGCAATATACTTCCATAAAGATTTACAGCCTTGGAAAATCTATGAGGGTTGCTATGAGTTGCAATTGACTCAATGGCAGTGTTTTTTTTTTTTTTTAATATGTTGAAATGATAATAGTTGGTATATATGATGTTAAATAAACTATATCTGCTAGAAAAATTAAAGTTGCACATGTGGCTCACACTACTTTTCTATTGGACGGTGTTGATGTAGAGGATGTAACAGAGCAGTAGATAGTTGTGGGCATATATTTAGTTACTAGTGCAGCACCAAGAAATTGTTTATTAGGAGAAGCAATTGCCATTAACTTTTCCGGTATTGGAGACAGCCATGTTATTCTAATAAGGGGGGATATGGATAAGAGACCTTGGGATAGGTTCATAAATCCACAATATTATGTAGAGGGAGGTATAGCTTTATGTAAGGACTCTTGGTGGTGCAATGGTTAAGTGTTTGGCTGCTAACTTAAAACCTGGCACTGCAAACCAGCCACTCTGTGGGAGAAAAGACCTAGTGATTTGCTTCCATAAAGATTTTAGTCTAGGAAACTTTCTACAGAGTGTCTATGAGTTGGAATAGACTCAATGGCACACAACAAAACAACAACAGATTTATATAAAGAATTAGAAGGGCAATGTTAAGTTGTCAAGAGTGAAGTACTAAGGAAAATCTGACTTAGGAAAACATTTCCTTGGGAAAATACTTTTCTATTGGGGAAAAGTTTAAGTGTGGATAAATGCCTAGTTTTACCTTTTAAGGTAATTCTTTTCAGTGATCATCATTACTTTTTCAATCAAAAGAGTAAGCAGATAAGAAGAGGATAGACAAGATTGTTTATGCCTCTTTTTCAGGTGACATAGAACTTGGGAATAGAGTAGGGTGGTGGGTACACAGTGCAATGTATGTAATATAATACAACAGAAACACTTCTTTAAAAAATTTGTGGTCTAACTAACATATAGCAAAGAGCATGAACCTTAAATGCATAGCTCATTGAATTTTTCATGCCTGTGTAACTAGTACCTAGATAAAAAATATAGAACATTTCCATCCATTTTAGAAAGTTTCCTCTTGTTTCTTTCCAGTAAATATTACCTGCTTTCAACCCCAACCCATAGAGTTATCATGTTTCTGATTTTCATCATCATAGGTGAGTTTTGCCTGTTCTTTGACTTCATATAAACATGTATCTATTGTCTCTGACTCTACTTCAACAAAAGCTTGTTATATTTATTCATATTGTTTCATGTACAGTAGATTACTATTTTGTCATTGATGTGTAATATTCCATTATATGAACATATAATAATTAATTACTTATCTTGTTAATGAACATTTAGTTTCAAGTTTTGCCTATTGTTAATAAAGTTTCTGTTATGGATTGAATTGTGTACGCCCAAAAGGTATGTTGAGTTCTAACCCTGTACCTATCAATGTGACCTTGTTTGAGTAAACAGGATTTTCCTTTGCAAATGTTATCAGTTAATTTAATGAGACGTTATCAGAGTAGGGAGGGTCCTAGTCCTTTCTGAGTGAGGTCTTATAATAAGGGAGAGCAGGCACAGACACGGGAGCTCTGGTAGCATAGTGGCTAAGACACTTGCCTGCTAACCAGAAGGCTGGCGGTTCAAACCC